CCCCAAAACCCCAAAACCCCAAAACCCCAAAACCCCAAAACCCCGTGTAAATATATAACTGCTGTGATCATAACAATTTAAAGATTTTCACAAAAACAAATTATGGAATCTACTACCACTTTTCTACAAGAAGGAAGAAATTTTGTCTATGTTGACTCTTTGGCTGAAGCCATCTTAAACCATGATGCTTCGACTGATACCTACACTATTAAGGATCCTTTCCCAAGCAACATTAAGATTCTTGACTGTAGTGCAGGTGGAGGGAAAGATCAGAAATTCAAGGAAGAGAGGATCCCTGGAGCTCAGTTCTTAGATCTCAATCAAAAATTCATTGATCCTGATGGCAAGTACCCATCTGCCTACCCAACAGAGGCGGTTATCAAGCATCGTCTGGGTGAGCTAGGAGTTTCCAAGGAACACGACATTGTATGCTATGTTCAGGATACAGCTACAAGGTTCTCTACAAGAGCCCTATTCATCTTCAAGAGCTTTGGATTTAAGAGAGTAGCTATCTTAGCTGGAGGCTTCGAGCATTGGAAGAGCAAGAACTTCCCTGTAGATACTTCAGAGCCAGCTGAAGAAGAAAAGACTGAGTTCGAAGGCGACTTGGAGGATGCTGACTCCCATCTTGTAACATACGAAGACGTCAAGGCAATGGAAGAGGATACTGAGAACAACCTGATCATTGATGCTAGACCTGCTAATGAGCATAATGGAGAAGTTGATCCTGCATATAAAGATGCTAAGAGAGGAAAGATTCCTAACTCCGTCAACATCCCTTCTACTGATATCCTCAAGGAGGATGGATCCTTTAAAGATGTAGAGGAGCTTAAAGAGATCTTTGATAAGTCAGGCGTTGACAAAAAGAGAAAGCTTGTGTGCCATTGCAATGGAGGAAATCAGGCAACAATAGTAGCAGTCGCTCTCCAAGAAGCTGGATACGAAAATATCAAATTATACGATGGATCTTGGAATGAATACGGATCTAAACTGGAGTAAAGATAAAACCTAATCTGCTTCTCATAATGCGTGACTTGCTAAATTCAATATGTTTTATCCAAAAAGGGGTTTTGGGGTTTTGGGGTTTTGGGGTTTTGGGG